CAACAAAAGGCTAATTATGGGAGAAGGAAACCATAAAGACCTGAGCTCCCAGGTTTTGGGGGGGGGGGGGGGGGTTCAAAAGACCTGAGCTCCTAGGTTTCGGCACCTATGTAGGAGACTGTCCTAAACAACACAGAACTGTAGGTTACATCTGGCCGGTGTAGCTCTTACTTTGGTTTAACAACGGATCAGTATCATGGCACAAGGGTAGTAACCTATGAGTGCTCTGTTCTACTTCTAACTCAAGCCTGAATCCGAATATTCTCACCGCAGTGCACGAACTCCGTTGCACCGGCTAGGATCCTGAAAGACTGGGTATACTTTTGACTCAAAAATGGGCCTGGACATTGCTGTTAGGCTACTCCTTTCAATTTCTAACTGCCAACGGATTTTTGTACGTGCACAACAATACACACGGGCGTCCGATCTTATTAACCAGAGACCAGGAGAAATTACCAGAAGTCCAAGTGAAAAAAATCCAATTGTGACAGCTCGTCTTTCACTGTCTGTCCCTGAAGGATTCGGTATGCAGCTGATCTTCCCCAAGTGTCTATGCCGATGTTGCTATATTTCAGGTCGCGTTTACATATGAACTTATAACGTAGCCTTCGCCTTCCTGTAGATCTAATCGATATTAAAAGTTCACTATACGGGAGATTTTTGTAATGCGACTGTCCTTCGTGCATGAGACATGTCCCAACCAACGCAGAGTGGGTGCTTCAGGATAGTACACTGTTGGCATTCCTGCTCTTTACTGTCAATTGACGCTAAAGCAACCTCTCCAGGGCATAGGCCTGGGCAAGTTGAATTGGTTTTGGAGTTAGGACTGTTGCCCAAGCGGCAAGTATCTCCTCTCTACGTCGCCGGTAATACAATCTTGGCACCGAAGAACGTATGACTCTTGCATATGGTTTCTGCAGATTACCCGGCCACGCTGATTTTAGACTGCTAAAAAATCAGTACACATTAACCGATAATAAAAGGCAGTGGTTGTCCACACGAGTTTGTTGACAAACGAGACATGGCCAGCAAGCTAAAACGGAGACGCCAGGAATCTAAAAAAGGGTTTGTTACTAATTTAAATCTCATTTAAAAAGTAGAGAACTTGACGTATTAATATATATCTATTGCACAGTTAATTTAATATACAGGGAACAAATATCAACTCAGAATTATAATTATTTATCTGGTGTTTCATAAATTTCATTGTTGTTCACAGACTTCACTAAGAATTTTGTTGTTTTCTCATTGTCTCCTAATTTCAGTCATAAATTATACCCCTGTGTGTGTGGTTTCCGGGCCTTATTACAGGGAAAACAAGAATAGACCCACTGCTTACCCAAAAGTATGTCGTGAGAGTCGACACATTGGGGGTTTCCTTCAAAGTTCAAAGTCGGAGTGTCACCAGTATGCATCTCTGCCTGAGTGAGAGGCACGAAACCAACAGTCTGCTTACAATAAATACATATACACATATTTCAAATAAGTCAGTTCAGATCTGTAAAACTTCAGTAACATGGATGGGCATGCAACACTTGGGTTCTGGAACAAGTCTAAAGTTCAGAGGTGGATAAACAACCAGAACTGTCCACCAGTTTGTTTACAGCTGGTAAACCAAAGCAGGGGAAAACAAAAGTCAGAAATTAGAAATCATCAAGTCCTTGTTGTACCTACTAACCTAACATTATTTATTCTTATAAATAGGCGTAGTTGCAAGTGATATTTTAACAACTGATGGCGTTTCTGAGGTCTTTGGAGATTGTTGCTGGAGCAGTGGAAGTGGAGTTTCAGTTTATTCTCATAAGTGTATGATAAACAATCATATCATCAGATGGGAAATGTGTGACAGAGATTAACCCTTTTAGTACGGGAAGTTTTCCAGATGTCTAGCCAAAAACACAGAGCATTTTTTCAGTAAATTTGGTTATAACTTTATTTTATTTTTTTGACACATTTCTATTATTCTGACCCCCATAAAATAATATATTTATTTGAAGGATAGTACACTGATTGAAGTTCATGATTTTCACAATATCGTTAAAATTAATTGATGTATATGCAAATTATCTCATTTGCATATCTAAAAATAGAAAATTAGGCTCTAGTTTGAATGGCGCCTTAAAATGGCGGCCGTAATATGATGCCGTCAAAAGAGAGCTAAATTGGCCACATTCTGGCCATAAAATATCCAAAAACATCAGAATGCAGCTCAAGTTCTATTAAAAATATATGTGCCGGCTCCATATAACGAAACAAATGCTCTAACAGGGTCTCGGCGATGTTACTTGCGGACCTGCTTTTGCGAGTGTGCCTCACCGCCGACCGTATCCCCCATGCCGCGCATAGCGGCGCGGATAGGGACTAAACAAGATGGCTGGAACTCACGAGCAGCAGCTACCACATCTCCTGCAACTTCCTCCAGTTACTTTACTCGTGAGTCCCAGGCACCTAGTTTAGCCCCCCCCCCCTATCTGCGCGGCGTGTAGCAGCGCGGGGATACGCTCCGCGGTGAGTTTAATCACGTTTGGCGTATGCCGACAAGTCTGACATCTACCGCTGCTCAATCTTCCCATCAGAAGAATACAGTATTGCTAATCGGCTTTCATCGTCTGTAATGTCTTGAAATTGGTCAACGGTCGCTAATATCGTCGTCTGCAGAAACGCTTGAAATTGTCAATGGTTGGTATTTATCGTCTGCTTTTACTGTGTGCAATGTTGATATTGATTGTCAAGTAATCCTAATTTTGCTGCGATTTGTCCCTTGGCAGAAAGTCCGTATTTTAGATACGCCTGAACACCGTTCCAATATTTTTGGATATTTTATAGCCAAAATGTGGCATCATATTACGGCCGCCATTTTAAGGCGCTGTTCAAAGTAGAGCCGAAAATTAGAGTGTGAATTTTCAACTTCAATGCATGAAACATAACTAAAAACAAAAATATATTTTATTTGAAATCTTTTTATTGATCTTTGGCCTTTTTACAAATGTTGTTAGCAAATTCAACAGTCAAAAACAATTATATATATACGAAACAGCAATAATATCTTTAGGTGACATGTGTTTTTGACCATTAGTCAGCACAAGAAATGGATGTGCCGGAGTGTCAACATCTTCGGGTGGATATACCCTGAGCCATGGTTGGGCTGTGGTCTGAACACAACAGCGTCCCCATCTGATTCCCCACTATTACTACTAACACTAGATCCTGCATCAGTATCAATAGAATTAGTGTCATCACTTGATTCAAATGTTTTATCAACATTAAGTTTAGGGGCAGAAACATACGAGTCAGACATACTTTTAGCGGTTCAGGTCACTATCTAAAAAATTCAACAATTTTCACTTCGACACCAAACGCTAGAAAGTCGCCATGTGTAAAGCTAATACAGCAGTGAATATAAAATAATCACTTTCAGTGTTTCAAAATAGGAGATTTCTTAGCGTGTCGAGGCGAAACACAATCGGGCCGATGATCGTCGCTCCGTGATTTTGGCCAGACACCAGCCGGCTGATAGTCGGCCCGTCCGTGCTAAGAGGGTTAAAAGCAGAATATGTCAAGCGAAGGCAGCATTTCAAAAAAAGAAAAATATTTTATGCAATAAATCGCTCTCTGAACAAATTAAAAAGAATTTAGAAGCAAACATAAATGTGGTTTCTGAGATGAATGTTACGAATCCCTGGACGGCCAGAGTAACTAACAACGATTGTTTGAAAGAGACAATGAAAGTAGCTCTCTATATACAACAATAAGAAGGAGACAAACTCTGTTCTTTGGCTACGTAAAGAGAAGAGAAGCATCGAAAAACATTGTGACAACTGGAAAGATCAGTGGGGAAAAAAGGTAGAGGCAGAGAATGATAAATGATTTTGGATGAACTGAAACGATGGCATGGAGGGATATCATTAAGAGAGCTGTTCCAGGCAACCAAGGATCTGTTGAGATTCATGAGTGCCTATGCCAGTTGGCAGGGCACATAATGATGTTGAGGAACATGGGGTATAATCCAACACTGACACAGTGATTGAAGCCCCTTTTTTTAATTTTAACACTTTTCGGTTTTTCTCTTCTTCTTAGCCTTCACAGGCTGTAAACTCTGCTCCCATGTCCTCCTTCTGAACACTGGCCTTGCTCCAGAACTTAAGTTTTAATAGTTTTAGAGGCACATACATTTATTTACAGATCTGGCTTATTCGTATGCTTCTTCTTCGTGTTCATTGTCTGGAAACTCCGGCAGAAAGTTCCAGTTGTTTATCCACTTCTAGTCTTTAGAGACTTTAGTCTTGTTCTAGAACTTGGTGCATGCGTGTACATCTGTATTATAGATTAGCTTTATTGTAGGCAGACTTTTGGCTACTAGCCTCTCAGGTATATATATTCCAACTTCAAAGGAATCCCCTAATAACCTACTAATTAGTTGACTCATACTGCAGGCTTGTTAAGGAGGCAGTGTGTTTGTTCTTTTTTTCCACTGCAATGAGGCCCTGAAACCTGCACTGGGAATTTGTATGAAGTCTGTTGGTTTCCTGCTTCTCAGGCAGATGCACAACTCTAAAGGAAGCATCCCTAATTACTTTTACCACATGATCAACATTCTTGGTAGGGTGACAGTAGTGTCTGTGGCTTAGACATTGTGAATGTACTTCATAATTCCATAGTACTGGGTTTGATCACAGCCTCAGACAATTTGGCAGCAGACTACCTTGGGTTAGTAAAAATACTGGTATCAATAGTCAGCTGTTCAGAAGTAGTTGCAAACTACTGAATATAAAGTTGTTCAGGGAAATTACAAACAGCCACAAAATGCTGGGGTTGATTCTACAACATCCTGTAAAGGATATGAAATGTAACTCTTTTGTCAGTAGCCCCTTTCCTTTATTTCAGCGAAAAGAGCCTCTGAAACCCATATGGGAAAGTTAATACTGAACTAGTTCATTTCTTTGCAAATTTTTCATATAAAACTATGTCACATTGCTGTCCTTCTTCTCACACACACACAGCGATGACAATAAAGATGACCTCAACATGGAGGAGGAAAGAGTTCAATGCATCTTCAAGTCAGAAAGCGGTGAGACTGTAGGATCTGACTTTGAACTTCCAATGGGCATTACCAGGGATAACCTACAGCTCATCTTTGATGCAGTTATTGAGAATGTAAGTGAATGTCAGTGCTTTTTTCTTACTTCAGTAGAAACACAGTACAGTGTAAACATGATGAGGATCGACTCAAGAAATAGTTCTTGAGAGAAATTCCTCTTATCCAGGACACAGTAAAGACAATGAAGAAAAAAATGACAGGAGGTGAAATGCAGAATCGAAGAAAAGACATGAAAATCTTACCGTGACACTGAAGGGAAAGCCGCAGGTGGGCCAGTAAGAGGTCACTAGTGATACAAGCGGGAAGACAATATCAAGGAATGGACCAACAGCAAACTAGAGTGTGAGGAAGAAAATATTGTGGTCACTGTCACTATAAAAATATTAATTGATGGCATGTACTTTTCAAAAATAAATTTGTCCCATTTGGCAAAAGGTCCAGGATGTCAATTTTTTGGGGATTGTTTGGGATTTAGGGCTCTCCTAGCACATTTGGACGGCTTCGGTCGGCTTGGTGGGAGTTCTCCCCCTTGGCCGCACTGAAAACAAGTAGCGGAAAAAGTCACGAATCAAATGACATACTTACCTATCATCATCCGGGTGCATGTAGGGCTGGCTGCGTAGGGTTAGGGGTAGAGTTAGATGTGAAAATTTACACGTAGGAGGTCAAAATAGTGGCCGACAATCTGATGCTTGTGGGAGTGGCGCCACTGAAATTCTGCCAAATATGACGCCAATAGCGGGCGGCTGGTGCCCAATCGGTGGCGAATTGTCCGTGTCAGTAGCATCCACCGTCCGTCGACTGTTTGAGTGTGTATGTGACTGTGCGCGATTATAGGGAACTACGGCGTCAAAATTGTCAAATCTAACCCTACACCTAACTGTAACCCTACCCCTAACCGCAACCCTAACGCTACCTCTAATCCTAATCCTACCCATAACCACGCAAATTTATCGGTCATTAAAGCATACAGATCGGCAAAACACAAAAAAACAACCCCAGATTTCCCCGCAGCGTAAAAAAAACCCCAGATCTGGGGGACACACCCAAGCATTGGCAGCCCTGATGTCGACCTCACTGTCTTGTTTGATTCGTGACTTTTTCCGCTACTTGTTTTGAGTGCGGCCAAGGGAGAGAACTCCCACTAAGCCGACCAAAGCCGTCCAGCTTGTGTCCAAATGTGCTAGGAGAGCTGGATTTAGGATTAAATTGGCCAGGCAGGCACGAGAGGCAGGGCAGATGAACAAGAAGTCTTGTCAACCAGCATCGAACAAGAGCTATTAGCTATTGGACACTGACATGTATGTTCAGCTACAGACATACCTGGAGTGCCGTGCGAAAAACCCAGCTCTTAACACACATACAAACTTAACATTAAGTTTTCAGCTCTCATATTTATTTTCAGTATGCTTTTTGATTCTGTGTACATGCTTAATAAAATAGACATGGTGGGGTCGAAGACAATAGTTGATGTCCTTGAGGAAATCTTGTCTGACTGGAATCAGTTTTATTTTTGTGTCAGGACACTCTTAGGCAAGAGAGAAAGAAAAAGTGGACTGGCTTGCTGGCAGTGTGATGGTAGGCACAGAAAAAGCAGTGGACCAGGCTGATGTTCTCAGTGTACTCAGGAAGTAGGACAAGTAGTTGATTCTGGGAATAATGGGAAGTCAATAACCTGGACAAGACTACAAGAACTTTATGCCAGAAGAGGTTTTGCCAGACATGAATACTGTACAGGTAGCTGATGAAGAACTGTAAACCACCACAGGTGATCAGTTGCCACACTTATGGAGATGCAGAAGATAAGATCCGCATGTTTATGGATTCCTGCAAAGAGGATGATGAGTTGATCAACTAACTAACTATTTTTTTTCTCTTCCGAATTTTTCAGGAAGAAAAAGTTCCTTATGCTTTCTTCGTCAATGGTGTTGAGATTCGGGACACACTGTTGAAGTCTCTCGACATAAAAGATTGTTCAAAGAGAGAAGTTGCACTGGAGATTGTCTACCAGCCACAAGCAGTATTCAAAGTCAGAGCCGTGACCAGATGTACCAGTACGTTAGAGGGTCATGCAGATGCTGTGTTGTTTGTTGCTTTCAGTCCTAACGGCAGGTATGTACGGACCTTTCATAAGTACCGACTTGACATATTCTGACCATCCTTCTGCAATGTTTCTGCTGTAGCTATGGCTTTTCTTCTCTACTTCCTCCTTTCATTCACTTCTCCTAATTCAAATGTCTTCAGATCCTGTTTTTATTTTCTAACCTTTAAAAGTTACTTTCTTTTTCTTTGTTTACCAGCTGTAAGCTCCAGCGGAAAGTCCTGGATGTTTGTCCCTTTGGATTTTACCTTTGTGTCAGGGCCTAGGTTTTGTATGTACATCCGATTTACTGTCTTATTTGTGTGCAGCTGGTTGTACCTTACTGCTCGGGCAGATGCACTCCGACTTCGAAGGAAGTCCCCAATTAATCAACTCCTACGAGATGCTTGTTGGGGAGGCAGTTTTCCCCACATCGGGGCCCCAAAACCCACATGCGGCCAAAAGTACTCATCTCCAGGTTTCTGTAAACTGACTTTGTTCAAATTCAACATCTTGGGAACATTGTTCTCTAAACGTCCATTGTGTGGTTATCCTTAAAATTAGCTAGCTAGCTGACAGATGTACATCAGACTGACTGTTCAGTGTTTGAATGTCTGAGTATATGGATAATGATATAATTGTAATTTTATTTTCAGCAAAATATAATACAATTTAGCAGCTACAAATTACTGACATACATTCTTTGAGGACTTGTTTAACTGTAATCACTTGATAAGAATAGACCAAGTCACATTTTTTTCGCTCACACATTGGACAATGCAGACTTACCAAAAACTCGTATAAATTAGGTATGAGCCAGTCAGCCCTCTGCAAGTGTTTTCATGCTGAACAGACTCCAGAACATGTCCAACAAGACTGTCCTTCCCTGAAAGAGCTGTAAAGCAACATTGTTGCCACAGCTAGGAGACCTGACAATTAAGCTTGGATGAAACCTAAGTGACCTAGAGATGCCATCCCAGTTTAAGGACTACAAGGGCTTGAGTGCATGACCAGAGATCACCGAAAAAGAAGTTTAACTGGAATGAGATATGCCACATTATACTTTTTGGAAACTAGCTACAAAACCTCATCATCATCATAAATTTCTACTTCTGCCGTTAAATGTTGTGGGGAGGAACAATTTGCGATCCATTACTTAGTGGGAAACAATGGCTTTTTTTTTATTCCGTGTCGATATAGGAGCTCTTAAATGTCATCAGTCCTCTTCTCCTAATGTGGTCTTTTGCTTTCACTTAAAATCTTTTCACGTTTAGCGCCTACGTTCATAGTTGTTCTGGCTGCATTCTTACTGGACGACCAAACCATTTTATCTTCTGTTTCTCAGTAAATTTGTTACATGGTGTTGTTCCTTCAGTCTGTCTGACGATATAGTTTCTAACTTTTTCTCGGATGGTTAAGTTGGTGGCTTTTGTCAATCATCTCATTTCACAGGTGTTAATTTTATGTAGGTTAGCCTTTGATAATGTCCAGGTTTGGCACTGGTAGCACCCATTTTCTAGGGGATCCTCCTCCCTCCCATTTGTTTCCAAATTAAACATGTTAGAAAAGTATGGTTGTCTAAGTTTGGTCTGTGAATTTGCAGATACCTGGCCAGTGGTTCGGGGGACACATATGTCAGATTTTGGGATGTAAACACAGAGACACCAGAGTTCAAATGTAAAGGTAAGATCTCTGTAAACCTTCACCTGGCAGTGCCTCTCCAGTTTCTTTACCATTTCATTACTTATTGTTGAGCATTCACATTCTAACAACAGAGTAGACCAGGATTTTTGTGCTTGGTTATGTTTGTGAGTTTTTCCGATTAACCTTACACCTAGCTTCATCATTCAGTGCTTTGTCAGCTGGAATGGGCAGTCATGCTTAAAGACATCATTTTGATCTACCTGTCACAATACTCCCCCCCCCCCCCCCCCCTCTTCCATTAAATGTAAAAAAAAAATGCACTCTCTATCACACATGGTGATATATATGCTAGTGCAGAGTGGCTAAAAATGCTTGCCTGTTGACGAGAAAGTTTAGCTTTGAATCCTCATTTTGTGAGCCTTTCAACTTTCGTATAGACTCCCAAGTCGAACAAACCCACCATGTGGTTCCAGGAAATGTTCTGGGAAATAACGGCAGCCAGCCTCATCCATCTAATTCTGATTGGTTTGTTATAAAATATAGGTCTATCACCGTATGCTTAGTGCGTTCTGGGGCATATCAGTAGATCAGTTACTTTTTTCCCTTGACACATTCAGAATGCCCTGATATAAACTTCAACAGAGAGCCACACTGAAGACAAATGGTGAATACATGGCAGGTAGAAGGCTATATAACATATGGAACAACGGCATCAAGATCTGCTTCAAAAATATCAACTTATACAGGCTTGGCCATATTGATGGGACACATTTATCTTTATATTACTGCTAGCAATATCTGTGCAAGTGTTAGATATAGCAACCCCATGTGGGTTCCAGGGCCTATTATAATGAAAACAAGAATAGACTCACTGCCTACACAAAAGCATGTCGCAAGAGTCGACTAATTGGTAGCTTCCTTCAAAGTCAGGGTGCATCTGCCTAAGAGGCAAGGAACCAACAGTCTGCATACAGATTAGATCGGTGAAACGGATGCACATGCACCACTCAGGTTCTGGAACAGGACTGCAGTCCAGAAGTGAACGAACAACCAGAACTTTATCCCAGAGTTTACAGCTGGTGAACACAAAGAAGAAGAAGATACAGCTTAATAGGAAGTGTAAGGATGGGGGTTACTGTTTCATGTTACTTTCATTGCCCGCTGACATCAGTGAACTGAAGGACAATATCCGAAGGAAGATAACGGCCATCCAAGCCTAAACCTTGCACAAAACTATGCTGAACATGACTGTTAGAACAAAGAATGTTCTCATCAGGGAAGTGTCCATCTCAGGGATGTAATTTTCAAACACTGAACACAGTGCAAAACTCCCCTCCTTTGGCAGTGTTTAGCAGTTGCTTCCTATGGGCTCCACATGTGCATTTGAAATGTGCCCCATCAAAATGGCTCACCCTGTACAACAGATTAGAAAAAGCACACTGAAGAGTCTTTCATCTCCCAATAATACTTTGATGAAATAATTGGAAGAAGATCCTTGTATGGGTTTTGTGGCCCCATTGGGGGATGGGGGAAGAATAGATCCACTGCCTCCCTAGCAAGCATGTCCTGAAAGGCAACTAATTAGGGGTATTTCCTTTGAAGTTTGTGTGCATCTTCCTGAGATGTGAGGAAATAACAGTCAGTATACACAAAATTTCATTTCTGGAACAGGACCAAAGTCCAGAAGTGGACGAACAGCCAGAACCTTCCACTGGAGTGTACAGCAGGAGAATGAAGAACAAAGAAAATAATGCATTGAATGTGTTGTGTATGCAGATTAGTTATTGAAACATTGGTCACTTTTATGGTCATTTCAGGTCATCAGCACTGGGTACTTTGTCTAGCATGGTCGCCTGATGGGAGAAAACTAGCGTCTGGATGTAAAGGGGGCAAGGTGAGGGACATTTTCTGACATCTGCTGTGTGTCATTTGTTTACTTTATATAGTAGTAACATGTTTTTATTTTGGATGAAATTATACTTGGCAACTGTGCGAGAGTTTTCATTCAGATAAATTGAGTAAGACTTGTCTGTTTTGATTCACATATTATATTTATCATGCATGCTATTGCCATACATTTTTTAAAATCTTAGATGAAATCATACATGGTAATTCACATATTATAGTTGGCTTGTATGGTTTTCACATATTTATCATGTATGCTATTTATTTATACATAATAGACACATCACAATCGTACATATATGTGGCTTTTACTCTCTGCCTCTCTCTCTCACTCTTTTTCTGTCTAATTTTCATACACGCTCATACAAAATTGTATCATTATTTTGACGATTTAGTCGTAGACTAAACTGTAGCTATTTAAAAAAGAATTCATCCGGACTTTATTGTCTACCCAGCCTAAAATGAGTACTGGGAATAGTCCTGAGAAGGAAAGGCAGTGAGTATAATGTTGACCACATAACCCAAAGTGTGCCAGTTTACCTATAAAAATATGGGCCAAACACTAATATGCCTGATGACCCACTGGTGTGAAAAGAGCTTTAGTTAATATTGCAGAAACTGTACAGGTCATTGTGTTTTGAACTAACTGTAACTATTAATGTTATGTTACATCATCGACAGGTTTGTCTGTGGAACCCATCAACAGGGAAACAGATCTCACGACCTTTGACCGGGCACACAGATTACATATCCACGCTAGCGTGGAAACCATTACATCTGTAAGAATTGTTTTTTCACTTTCTCATTTAACATTCTCTTCTGCTTTAGACAGGAAAGGAGATACAGCTCTTGTGCATAGGGAAATCACATAGTCTTGTTTAATCGTCACCTTTCTCTCTTTCCAGATGATATTGTTATTAATCACAGGCGATGGCGAATGACTGTCAAGGCTGGCTCCCATTATGAAAAGCCTTACTCCTCCAGGGCTTGTAGTGGGCCTTGAAACTGGGAAAACTCCAATAAGTGCTCTGCCCTTATCTTCAGCAGCAGGCATAAAGTTCCATTTTCAACGGCACCAGTAACCGTCTGATTGTATATCCGTCTCACCTTTCCCTTGAGTGTTGAGCGTCAACCAGATTCCCTGGCAACTCCTCGCAGTGCCATTCTCCTCACTGTTGACTCACTCCCAAAGGACCCTTACAACATCGAGACTGTCATGCATCAGTTCACCCCCAGGTGGTGGAGATCCAGTCGATCTATCTGCCTGTTCATTTTTGAAGACACCAGATGGGGCTTGTATCTCACATTGGAGCTTGGAACCTCAAACAACTCACGACCAATCCATCCTCTACTTTTTTACCTCCTAAAACTGTGTCCAAATTCTTACCCATTTAATACATCTCTCTTTCTAACTGTTTGTTTTTAGATCTTCTATTTCTTTATGCTCTGTGAGTTCGAAGGGAAGGACTTTATAGTTATACTAATAGGTTTTCATTTGGAAGCTGACAGGTTCAGTTTCCTGCATGGTCATTATAGTTTTGGATTTGTATTTTGTCTTGTTTGTCTTTCTGTTTCTCTGCCTGATCATCATATGTCTATTTGTTTATTATTATATATACAAAACCTATAAACCTTTAAATGTTTCAGTGATCCAGAGTGCCGTTACCTTGCCACTTCCTCAAAAGTAAGTTCCATTTGTTGTTGTTGTAACTTGTGTTTGCTTGACCCTATAACTGTGCACCTTGTCACCAGTAATTGTTATAAATCGAACACAGTTACTTGACCTGGAAGTAGAGCATGTTAAAGCATGCCTATGCTGCCTTCGAGACTGATATATGACAAAGTATAACCAACTCCACGTTGGAATATTCAGTAGAGGTAACTTTGAGTAGCTGCTGCATCAGAGGGCTGAGCACGCATAGGAATGCGTGATGTTGACTGTGGTAACATAACAAAATATTTGTTTAAGTGACCCTCTCATCCGGACAGCAAAAACATTAGAACTTGTCAATTGGCCAGTTGTTTGTTTGCATTAGCGGCTGTCGAAGAGAAATAAATATACTAAGGTAGATTTTTGGTGGATTAACATACAGACACACTATAGCCCACATTAAGTAAACCCCAGATAACAAATGTTCAAAGAAGTTGGTTGGCTTTTCGGTCGAAAGGCACAAATATTGTGTCAACAGGCACAACTCATTTATATAATTTGGGCAAACAGTGAAGACAAGAACTGGCATTCATTTGGATCATTGAGGAAGTCTCCGTCTGCAGGAAGTCATATTTCTGCCAGCATGGTGACTTGGACAGTTAAGGATTAAAGTGGTGACGCAGGTTTGTCATGAAAATTTAAAACTGCTTCTGTGCCCTCAAAACTTACCATTCTCCTACCATCATGGTAGCCGACATTTCTTTGCTTATCATCATCATCAGGTTGCTGAATGTCGCTCTCATCTCGCTTTGCCTGAAAGAAACTCGGTCTCTCACCAGCTATCATGCCTAGTGCACTTTCGTATCTAAGGAGTCCCTTTTATTCTGTGCCCATCTTCATGTTGGTTGACCCCTGCCCTTCCTTCCTGGCACCATGCCTTCTGTCTTCTATCAATGCGTCCAGTCTGCCATGGTGCTTGATATGGCTAAAATGTTTCAGCTTTCTGGACTATATATCACCATATCTGCTGTGATCAGTTCTAGAAAAGTAGTTACATTTTATTGGGTCTGTGTGCGTCTTTGCAGTGTTTTATAGGCCAGTATATGAATATAGTTACTAAAAATAGCATTTAGAGTGGTTTCCTTATAAGCACATTTTTTGTCCTTGTCGAGTAGATGTCACATTTCCCATTTACGTCAGGGATAGAGGAAGGGTCATCACATTCATGTGGGTTTTTAAAGGTCCCAGAGAATGTATTTTATTTAATGCTTCGCTCTGTTCATGTTTATTGATTACCCCCTTTATAAATCTGTATACTGAAAAATGTGTGTACATAAAAAATAAATTTAAGAACAATTATTAGTGACCCTATAATATTTTTTTTTTTTTTTTTTAGGATTTTAAAATTCCAGTAGGTTCAAGACCCATTTTTTTTTTTATCATTCACAGGTTTAAAAAAAAAAAAGAAATTGTCTTTAAATTTATTCATCTCCTAACACTTTCTCAACTCTTGTAAATCCTATTAAATCCCATCCCAGTGGTTGCAAGATGTGTTTGCAGTCATAAGGGAATTAAAAAGTCATCCCAGACTCATTTGATAGTCACTAGAAATTTAGCAGCAAAATGTATAAATAGCTGGTCATATTACTATCTCTTATATGCCAGTTGATATTTAAAAAACAAACGTTTGAAAATGTCTGAGTAACAGGTAACAAAGCTCATTTGGTTTTACTGCTGTTTTCAGGACCTGACAGTGAGGATTTGGGATGTGATAACTTTCAGAACACACCTGATCATATCTGGGCACAGAGCACATATATCATATGTGAAGTGGGGTGGCAGTGATCTTCTGTACACCGCATCACACGATACGACCATCAAAGTCTGGCGAGCCACTGACGTAAGTAATTCCTTCAACTCTGAATGTTTTTTTAATTTTGTTTTTGTGTGAGTTCTTCTTCGTTTTAAAAGTCCATGCCATTTGGCGTTGGTAGTCATGTCTATCCACAGCCTTCTGTCTCATGTACATTCAATCACCTCTGACACAGATGATCTTCCATGCCATGATGTCAAATTGTCCAGCATCTGTTCTCTCGGTCTCCCGCTGCCTCTCCTCCCCTCTAACTTTCCTGCCATCGATTTGTACTCCAGTTTTCTCCTTCTCATCACATGACCACAGTTTCTTTCAAGACTTTTTTTTATTATTCTTTTATCTGTCATGCCTTTTGTGTTTACTACAATCTGTTATTTCATTTATTCCAAACTGTAATACCTGGATTCAGTAATTAACACCAATGCAGATTGCTTACTAGAAATTAGAAGGGACTTCTGGAGAGGCTAACTCAGGCAACAAATACCTGCAGAAGTCACATGTGTCGCCCAAAAGATGCAAATATTGCATCATGTCGTAAATGGGCACAATACATTTATGTCTTCAGATGAACAAAGAAGAAGAAACTTACTTTAGCAATACAGAGGTTAAATAATTATAAGAGCCTTTGGAGCAGTGTCAGCAAACAGGAGTGAAAATCTAGAGAACATGCATCTTTCCTGTTGCAGCATATGGAAGTGAGTCTCTGGCTGTTTTGCAATCACTTAGGAATAAATGTGACTTTTGAACCTAAGTTACCGGAAGATTGTTAAGAGTGCCTAGACTAAAAAGAGGAAAAATAGTGACATTCTTCATGATCTGCATGGTAAAGAGGCCTGGCTTGTAAACAGTTTCATTTCTCATGAACTTTTCTCATAAACTTAAGTACCTCGGCAATAATAAACGCCATAATGGCTCGGAGAGAACAGTAGTAGAGGGTACTGTTCTCGGGAGAAGAGACGGGGAACCAGCATCGGGGCTGACGCAGGATACAGAATATCAAGGATACCCTGGGTTTGGCAGTTCGTAAGGTGGGAAAGTTGCAAGTGGTCAGGTGGCTTTCTGCCAGGCTGTGATGGGAGCAGTGTTCTGCAAAGGGCATGCTACCCAATGATGATGATTTATTTTATTTGCTCTGGGGAAAGATAGTCCTATTGAAATTCTTGTCCTTTGAGAATAATTGTCAAAGTTATGTAAACACAACTTTACTTTATCTTTTATCATTACTATTTTCACTCTTTCCTATTCCTATATTTTATAGCTGTTTACATGGGGACTGGTGGCGAGGATACTCTGCCACTTGTTGCTGTTATTGGGGGTGGTGGGGGGGGGGGGGGTGGTTGGTGTCGAGAAAGGCTTCAGCTAAAACGTCTGATTTTTCCAGCATATATATGTTGTTCCCTTCACTCCCTTGTATTAAACTTCTTAGTAAGTTTAGTGGATTCATTTCTACTATATAGTGCAGAAATCTGGACACTGAATCAAGTCAAACTGAGGACCTTGAAATGTGCATATACAGGCGCGTTTGTTATGTTTGATGGAAATATAAACAATCTTCTTGTTCACCGGCTGTAAACTCTGGTAGAAAGTTCTGTGTCCACTTCTGTACTTTGGTCTTGTTCCAGAACTTAAGTTTGTGAATGGGGAGTTGTTGCAGAAAGAAATACAAGAAATTTTATAGTCACACTGGAAGACATCTTACTTTTATATTAATCATATTGGAGAACAAAATCTTAAGCAGTAGGTAGACAAAAAGCAGTCTTTCAAGCTGTACTATTTTTCATGTGTTTGCCAGTAAAAGGGCTCCCATTCCAAGATGTGGAGTCGTACATATCTGTTGGGGCAGTAATGTAGATAAAGATGGGAGAACTGATAGAGATATTAAAATAAGAATACAAAAGGCAAGAGGAGCTTTGGGAGGGAACTAAGCAAGTGGCCCAAGAGGTAAAGAAAAGACGCCGCTGGCGTTGGATAGGACACACATTGAGAAAATCAGAAGACAATATAACTAGAATGTCTTTGCAATGGAACTTACAGGGGCATAGGAATAAAGGAAGGAAAACACATGGAGAAGAGAGCTGGAAAATGAAATTAGAAAGATGGGAAAGACATGGGGAGAACTGTATGCGATAGCACATGATAGAATGACTTGGAGTGAGTTAGTTGAGAGCCTATGCTCCATTGGGGGCTAGAAAGGCAGAAGAAGAATAAAAGGGCTGTTGGTACATTGTTGTGGTTTGCAGCTTTGCCACGATATTTACACATTTTGGCCCAGTACATTTGATTTCAGCAAATTCTTACTTAGTTGTCTTTCAGACATGATTGTCAACATACGGATGTGTTCGTGGACTATCTCCCAGTCTGCTTGTTAACATATGGATGTGTCGGGACCATCTCCCAGTCCTTAAGAATGAAACAGGGCTTTTGAGCTGAAATGCTATAGATAGATTCTAAGAAAATCGTAGACAAAGAAGAGAAGAAATACTGACATTTAAAAGATCTGAACATCAAGGAAGATTGGCTAATAAATAGCATCTTTTCTCTGAAGCTGAAATATTGTGGTCATGTCAAGTGCCATGGCGGACTGGAAAAAAATATTAGCAGAAGGCATGGTACCAGGAAGGAGGAGTAGGGGCCGACCAAAATGAAGATGGGCACAGGATATAAGTGACTCCTTAAGTGTGAAAGTACATGAGGCAGAAAAACTGGAAAGAGACCAAGTTTCTTTCAGGCAGACATTGATGAGATTGGTGTTCTGCAAAGGACCTGCTACATGATGATTTTAACTCTTTCGGTCCCATAAGGTTTTGTACAAAAATCATAATTTTATTTATATTATTTATTGTTATAAAAAGTCAAATCACCTGTGTCTTTTACGAATGAAAGATACCCCTGTGGTTGCCAGATTTATTTAGTAGACACTGACCAAAACTTAAATGTGGGGAAGACACTTGAGACACATGGGAAATAGTCTGTAACACATCATGTGTTATTTAGGACTGAAGAGGGCCTATGATTTTTACTCCAATGAAATGGGGGTCCCAGAACTCACACAGGGAATCAGGGTGTTCAGCCATGGTGAAACACAGGGTTAAGAGTCCCCTTGTCATCAACCTTCACTGTGGAGATGACACGTCATTAATTGCTTTATAGCGATATCTAAAATACTTTATAGCGATATATGATATAACATAACTAAACGTATGACATGTCATTAATTGCTTTATAGCGATATCTGAAATACTTTATAGCGATATATGAAATAACGTAACGTCTGACACGTCATTAATTGCTTTATAGCGATATCTGAAATACTTTATAGCGATATATGAAATAACATAACTAAACGTCTGACACGTCATTAATTGCTTTATAGCGATATCTGAAATACTTTATAGCGATATATGAAATAACATAACTAAACGTATGACACGTCATTAATTGCTTTATAGCGATATCTGAAATACTTTATAGCGATATATGAAATAACATAACTAAACGTGTGGGCCTCTGTATTGTCTGTAACGGTGACTTCTATGTTTGTTGTTTATAGGGCGTGTTTTGTCGTAACCTTGAGGGTCATGGTCACTGGGTCAATACCTTGGCACTAAGCACAGATTACGTCATGAGAACGGGTGCCTTTGATCCAGTAGACGCCAAGATTGTCCACGAAGAAGTCACAGACTCGGGTGAGTTATTTCAGTGTTGCTTTTTCTGCAATTTTTTTTCACTATATCTGTTGAATGTTTTTGTTTTTAAGTAAAACGGCACAGTCATCTTCTGCTGCTTCGTCTATAATCTCCCTTGGTGTGAATCATCTACTCTGTAATCTCCCATTGTAGTCTGTCTGTTTCTATAATCTTTTCTATTGTTTGGCTTATCTGTTTCTGTATTACCATATTTTTTCATCAGTCTGTGTAATGGCGCGTTTGTCTGGCTGCAGTGTTAATCAGTTGTCAGTGTTAGTATCAATGACACGTCCCGAAGATGCTCAGAATTCACACACAAATGTTTATTGTTGATGCCGCGACGTGGTCGTTATCATCGATCGTCCTGGCAGTCTCTCTTGTTTTACATATCGATTCAAACACTAAAATATAGCATAAAGAGGTCCGCGTTAGCGCAGTAGATAAGAGACACTTTCAAACCCAGTTGCGACTATCTGCAGCCCACCGCCGGTGTTCGAAACCAGGTGGTTCCCAGGGTTCACCCAGCCTCTAGGAAATGGGTACCATAATTAACACTCTAGTTTAAATGGAGGAGCGTCGCTGTAGCTACAGAGTTTCATGAGGACGGTGGCACAGTTTCTTATCAGCTGTCTGTACTGGTGGCAGAGCACTTATGGTTTATAACCGTGTGCAATGACGCTGGTTCACATCTCCCGACCTTACCTTTACTAAGAATATTATATTACCTTGTTACAACTTGAATCTATCATTCGCAACTGTCTTTCTTTCCTGATATGCAACGGAACAGTTCATTTATCTACTGCTTCCTCTTCTGCTGCCATCTTTCTGTCCATGCCTCCTCTGTCAGCTATTAAGATTCGCACACAACAATCACTCAATTCAGTCATCGGCTCACAATCACCGTCTCCCACTTTCCTGTATCTGTATCTCATTTTGAGTTATTCTCTTTCTAACCATAAGACTCTAAACAGTTATACCTTTCTCACATGAACTCACAATCCCTCTTATTCCACGCTTTCCCCCCTGATAATTTTAGGTCTACCCACTCTTTGACCCGTCCCATTGGGAAATCCCATTATACATCATAGGGTTTCCCACAGCATTACCTTCTGTTTCTATAGTCTTCTATTGTGGGGTCCCTCTTTTTCTTCCTCATGTTTACTGGCTGTAGACTCTGGCAGAACATTCTGGTTGTTTGTCCATTTCTTGTTCCAGAACTTATGTGCACATCTGCATTACGTGTCTGGCTTATTTGTATGCAGACTGTTGGTTCCTTGCCTCTTGAGCAGATGTACTCTGACATCAAAGAAAACTTACTTAGTTAGTCCACTTTTATGACATGCTTGTTAGGGAACAGTGGGTTTATTCCTTTCCCCACACAATGGGGCCCTGGAGCCCACACAGGGATGTTCAAACTCTTATTGATTTGGCATCATTTATCTTTCACTTATTTTCAACTGGTTGCACACAATTGTAGCAAAGCTGCAACAAGTAAACTTGCTACAAACGTATGACAGAATTTGTTGTGGTTAAAAAGGAAACCACCCCTTTTTTTCCTATATGAGCATGAAGATGCTTTGCCGAGACGCTGTCACTCCCATCAATTCTGACTCATCTTCCTGCACTTACACACTGATGGTGGGGGTTTGATATCAAATATTTTTATAGTTATAAAGCTGAAACGATTGGTTTTATTGCAACAGGTTTTCCCTCCTGTGGCTCGCGGTCTTTCTTTACACAAACACTGTGTCTGTAGCTCTGGCAACAGTCTCCCTGGGTCTCCATAAAAATTGCACCCGTGAACTGAAGGCATATCTGTGAAACGATCCCACAAACTTCAGAGCACGGGGCAGACTGTTTGACCACTTGGCCACAGCGAAGAGAAAGACGTGTGATGTGAAACGATCCCACAAACTTTAGAGCACGGGGCAGACTGTTTGACCACTTGGCCACAGCGAAGAAAAAGACGTGTGATAGAAAGACTGATATAATCTTTGCAGAAGTGAACACATCACTCTTGACAACGTAGTGTTCCTCTCTAACAAAATCTGAGTTCAGAGCTGTATAGTGCATTGTTGATAGCGAGGTGTAGTTGAGGCATACTGAGTAAGAATGGTTTCTGATTTTGTCGGTTGCCTCTTATGACATGCTTTAATTTACATTGTTACTGTTTTCTGCTTCTCTGGTTACACACGAATGACCTGGAAGATAACTTCAGTGGGTTTTTTCTTTACTCATTTAATTGGGTTGTGAATGATGAGATTGTCTGGATATTTGAAAAGTGGACAGCCAAACATTTTGAAAGAAAGGTCTACTGGCTCAGTCATTTTTAAAGGAAGAGCTGAGAGGACTGAGCATGGTTGGGAATGGCCAATGTGCAGTGAGGTTGATTGTAATAACGTAACTTATTATGATTTGGTTGAGATTCCATGCCCCATTTTTAAACTGCAGAAGAAGAAAGCGGAAGTAATAAAATTATGCTTCCTGGCTCTGCTTTCATATTCTACAGTGTTTAAAAATGGGGCATTGAATCTCATCCAGCACATGTAAAGTTACGTTATTACAATCAACCTCACTGCACATTGGGCATTCCCAACCTTGCTCAGTCCTCTTTTGCAGCAGCCACTCCTATTTACCTGTACTGATTGTTCCCATAAAGAGCTGTTATAGTGTCTCCTGTCTCAGCCTCGAAGGCAGCATAGGTGTGATATTTTCCATCCTTTGCTCTCATATCAGACTCCTGTCAAGGCCTTTGTTGTTTTGATAACAATTGGCTGAATTTTGCAGCTAAAGTTTTCTATGAGATGAGGTACTCAGTCTTATGCCACTTGGCCATCGTTAACAACATACATAGCATGTTACACTGTTACATTTTAGCTTCCTTTATGGATCATGTGTGGGTTTAATTACTCAGTGGCCTTTTCTTTTAATTACGGGAGGAAATATTGATCTGGGTCACACAGAGCTGGCTGTCCTAACCACAGCCAGCTCCAGAAATAAGGTACAGCTGACGTGGCCGGTCGGTGGTAACAATTGTTATCGAGTAGATTTATACACAAACTGAACTACAGTTTCATTAATTTACAACATGTGTTAGTGAATGAATTATCATTTTGAAGATAAATATTCTCTAATAGACCATTTATTTATCTTCAGAATAATAATTCATTATGGCCACGCCAGCCTCACAAAAATGGGAATTCCCGGTTGAGCTGTATAGCCTTATACTGGAGCTGGCTGTGGTCCTAACTATTGAACGCATAGTGACATCTTCGGCTAATTCTGAGAAACCTTTCAGCTGCTGGCTAGTTTTATCCAAATTTATGTGAATGCTTGTGTGAAGTTAAGGCTCTTCTTCTGCATTCATTCTTCAAAGGATGATTAGCACATTATGCTGTAGTTGACAGCTAGGCTGCAGAATCAGTCTTTGTGGGACCAACACATCCAGTTTCAGGACACCCTTAGGCGGTCAGTTTTCAGGACCTGCTTGTCCGGGAGCGTGTGGACCCCCACATGGGGAAATGAGGCTGTAATCTCTACAACGCATCCATTAGATGTAACTTTATAATATACTCCATCACAACACCAAGATCATATATTACCATTTTATTTAGAAACAAAGCCATAAGAAAAAAAAATGGAAGAATAGCTTAAAAGTGTGTGTAACATTCACTTTTGGAAGAAATGGATACCGGAAATAGAGAAAGAAACAAAACTGAAAACAGAAGTAAAACATGGATAGTAATTTTCTGATCAGGAATTTAGTTTTGTTCATGATAAGTTGATATGACTGTGGGTATATTAAAAAACATGGAGTGCATAATTTCAAGGCAACAAATCAATATGGAATAAGTTGAAAATGTGGCAATGACATGTGCTGTTTCATTATAATATATAAATATAGAATCAGGGAAACAGCAGAGACAAACTTACATAATTAAATGAATTAGTTGGAATAATCACGAATATAATTTTATTGTGAAGAATTATATAGATATGTCTGAAGCTGTCATTTTGTTCCAGTAAACCTTTAAATTTGTTCACGTTTGCTCACACTCTACTTTTTTTAATAGTCAACTCTTAAAATTGTGGAGAAATGGTTTATCAGTTGACACATAACTTTCTTTCTCTTGACCTTTTTCCTCTTCTACTCTTGGGTTAATGAGTGAATTAAGAATTGACATCCTTGCACTCGGGACATTCCCACACATGCTCCGTCTCCTTCAGTAGCCAACGAAGAGTTGGTATGTTAATAGTGCCTTTTGCAGTCTGATTAAAAGTCTGCCTATGTTTCCCCGATGTGTTGAATATCTTCTAGACCCCCCATTGCTCACTCCTGGCTGAATTAGTCTGTCAGTATATGGATCCTTGGTCTGTTCTGTTGCACTGTCTTCTTGATCCCATATAGCCTTTACCACTTCTGCTTTATCATAATGTAGCTCACCACCCACAAGAGCGACAGCAGCCAGTCTGTCAGCCTGCTCATTACCCCGCACACCTGGATGTCCTAGACAGAAAATCCACTGTATGCTCCACACCAGTTTCTTTTTTCCGAAGCGTGCTCTGTGAGTCTGTGACAGTGACCACATGTTTGGCTGTGGTGTTCTCAAACACTCTTAGTTTAAGATATCTTGCAGTGTTTTTATGTTTGTAGACAAGCCGACATGCCACCATATATAAAAGTTGGTGTTTACTTTAAAGGCTGTTTTTTTTTTTTAAATTATGAAATATTGGTATTTGTTTACACTTGAGTCTATTGATAGATTTTTTTTTTTTGTAATCTTAATTTTGATATTTGATTGTGTCTTCTGCTAAGCTGACCATTGTTGAATTTACCCGTGTTCATGTTTATTTGGCGCCTAAAGGGGTCTTGGGTTTAATCCCTAGTAACAATGCTCATCGTGTTGCAGATTCTTTGTTTCCATCTCGGCCGACTAGAAAACCACTTAATTTGTCACTTGCCAGTTTGGTGTCGTTTATTTTCATGCAATTTTTCCTTTATCTTGTGTCCACTTTTAAGCTGGTCAGTTTCTGTCTGTTGTATTTTCATACCATGTGCCTCCTTTATCTTGTGTCCACCTTTAAGCTAGTCAACCGCTGCCTCAGCTTCCAAGAACTTTCTGCTACTATTAATTCCAAATCCTGATGTGGCTGAATGACTTGAATGTATTAGCTTTAAACACATGAATGATTCTGTTTGTGATCTATGCTTCATCATCTTGTTGAATGTCAGTATTTGTCTTTTTCGTCTTCTTGACCCTTAGTAGTCTAAGAATTTGTCTGTAGCATTTAACGTCCTTCAGTGATTGTTTAATGGACCACAGAGGTTTTTTGAGGTTTTGAACAACGGATCAATACATGGCATACGGGTAGTAACCCATAAGTGTTCTGTTGTTCTTCTTTTAACTCAAGTCTGAGTCCAAAAAATTTCAGCACAGTGCACAGGCTCTGTAGCACCGGCAAGGATTATGAATTACTTTGCATAGATTTTAAACTCCAAATTTTGTCCAGGCAGTGCTGTTAGGCTACTCTTTTTGATTTCCAACTGCCAAGGGATTTTTTTTTGTACGTGTGCAACAATGCACACAGGCGTCCGATCTCACTACCCAGAGACCACTGGTAATTACTAGAAGTCCAAGTCCACGTGAAAAAAATCTCAGCCCTCACCGGACACTTGAACCTGGAACCTCTAGCACTTCAGGTGGACACCATGCTTCGAGACCACGCAGCCCCCTAATGGACCACAGGAAAGAAGCTGGTTCTGCTTTGTTTACTTGAGTATCTCTGATAGTGTTATGCCTTAGATTTTCGATGCTAATCAGCGCTAATGATATTATTGACAATTTTTTTTTTTCAACCTGAACGGACTTAAAGCTGCAGTGACCTCATAAAATAATGTACGTCAGTAGGTGTTGCACTGAATGTCAGGTCTTTGGTGTGAAATACCCATCATTTATGATTTATAGCACAAAAGCTCTCTCTCTCAGTAAGTCTGCGTCTTAACCTGCCCATTTAAACACAGCAGAATTGTTTGTGTTAAATTTTATTTTGTTTTTAAATTACGTCATTTTGTGTGCCAAGCCACTGGGCTACTGTAGAAGAGATCTAGTATTTGTACACACTTGCAGGGTGATTGCATGCTTGCAGGGTGATTGTACGCTTGTAGGGTTGGTTCAGTCTCCGGCAGTGGTGGGAATCTCATTTCATGACCCATACAGCTCTATGGTGGACCTTGCCTTGTGAGAAGTGTACTGGATCATTTTCAGCCTGACAGTTACCCTGATGATTTCTGTGACATTTTTATGGTTTTAAATTCATGTTTCGTGAGAATTTTTTAGAATTACTGTATTTGTTTAATGTGATTACCTCTCAAGTGTCCAGAATCACTGTATTCATTGAATGTGTTTACCTCTCAAGTATATAAACAAAGAAGACAGCTGATCCGTCTAGTTTCTTCATTTCTTTTTCTGTCTTTTAGCATACTTTTTTCCTTGACTCTTCCTGAAAAGAGAGTATTGTGGCATGGCACCTTGTTCCTGAAGGTTCTTTTCTGGGTCATTGTGTGGGTATGTCTGGGTCAGTGTGTAGGTATGCTTGTGTCAGTGTGTCAGCATGTCTGGGTCAGTGTGTAGGTATGCTTGTATCAGTGTGTCGGCATGTCTGGGTCAGTGTGTAGGTATGCTTGTATCAGTATGTCAGCATGTCTGGGTCAGTGTGTAGGTATGCTTGTATCAGTATGTCAGCATGTCTGGGTCAGTGTGTGGGTATGCTTGTATCAGTATGTCAGCATGTCTGGGTCAGTGTGTAGGTATGCTTGTATCAGTATGTCAGCATGTCTGGATCAGTGTGTCAGCATGTCTGGGTCAGTGTGTCAGCATGTCTGGGTCAGTGTGTAGGTATGCTTGTATCAGTATGTCAGCATGTCTGGGTCAGTGTGTAGGTATGCTTGTATCAGTATGTCAGCATGTCTGGGTCAGTGTGTAGGTATGCTTGTATCAGTGTGTCAGCATGTCTGGATCAGTGTGTAGGTATGCTTGTATCAGTGTGTCAGCATGTCTGGGTCAGTGTGTAGGTATGCTTGTATCAGTGTGTCAGCATGTCTGGATCAGTGTGTCGACATGTCTGGGTCAGTGTGTAGGTATGCTTGTATCAGTGTGTCAGCATGTCTGGGTCAGTGTGTCAGCATGTCTGGGTCAGTGTGTCAGCATGTCTGGATCAGTGTGTAGGTATGTCTGGATCAGTGTGTCAGCATGTCTGGATCAGTGTGTAGGTATGTCTGGGTCAGTGTGTAGGTATGTCTGGGTCAGTGTGTAGGTATGTCTGGGTCAGTGTGTAGGTATGTCTGGGTCAGTGTGTAGGTATGTCTGGGTCAGTGTGTAGGCATGTCTGGGTCAGTGTGTAGGTATGCTTGTATCAGTGTGTCAGCATGTCTGGGTCAGTGTGTAGGTATGTCTGGGTCAGTGTGTAGGTATGCTTGTATCAGTATGTCAGCATGTCTGGGTCAGTGTGTGGGCATGTCTGGGTCAGTGTGTAGGTATGCTTGTATCAGTGTGTCAGCATGTCTGGGTCAGTGTGTAGGTATGCTTGTATCAGTATGTCAGCATGTCTGGATCAGTGTGTCGGCATGTCTGGGTCAGTGTGTAGGTATGCTTGTGTCAGTATGTCAGCATGTCTGGGTCAGTGTGTAGGTATGTCTGGGTCAGTGTGTAGGTATGTCTGGGTCAGTGTGTAGGTATGCTTGTATCAGTATGTCAGCATGTCTGGATCAGTGTGTCGGCATGTCTGGGTCAGTGTGTAGGTATGCTTGTATCAGTATGTCAGCATGACTGGGTCAGTGTGTAGGTATGCTTGTATCAGTGTGTCAGCATGTCTGGGTCAGTGTGTAGGTATGCTTGTATCAGTGTGTCAGCATGTCTGGGTCAGTGTGTAGGTATGCTTGTATCAGTATGTCAGCATGTCTGGGTCAGTGTGTAGGTATGCTTGTATCAGTGTGTCAGCATGTCTGGGTCAGTGTGTAGGTATGCTTGTATCAGTGTGTCAGCATGTCTGGGTCAGTGTGTAGGTATGCTTGTATCAGTGTGTCAGCATGTCTGGGTCAGTGTGTAGGTATGCTTGTATCAGTATGTCAGCATGTCTGGATCAGTGTGTCAGCATGTCTGGGTCAGTGTGTAGGTATGCTTGTATCAGTGTGTCAGCATGTCTGGGTCAGTGTGTAGGTATGCTTGTATCAGTGTGTCAGCATGTCTGGGTCAGTGTGTAGGTATGCTTGTATCAGTGTGTCAGCATGTCTGGGTCAGTGTGTAGGTATGCTTGTATCAGTATGTCAGCATGTCTGGGTCAGTGTGTGGGCATGTCTGGGTCAGTGTGTGGGCATGTCTGGGTCAGTGTGTAGGTATGCTTGTATCAGTGTGTCAGCATGTCTGGGTCAGTGTGTCAGTATGTTGTGACACCAAGTTCCCACAACCCAATTAGAGTAGGGTAGATGCAGACATCTAAGAAATCAGCCCCTGCAGTTGATAAAACCGTGATGAGTTGGTCCGTACACAATGAGATGAGTGTTCTATGATCAGTGGTGGATAGCTTCTTGCTGCTAGATGATTGAAATGTTTTATGAGCAGGTCAGCGACTGGTCAGTGTCCAGTACCGGGGCAAAATTTCCATTACAGCTGCATTGATTCCAGCCTGTTTTCCAAATGACCCTGGTGTCCAGTAAGTTCGAATCGATGTTTCGATAGAACCGTGGAACTCCAGACTGGTACAGAAGATGTCTCAAATCCTGGTAATTGGGAGTATCGCTGGTGCGGTAATAGTGGAAGGTCAAGGAAACCTTGTTTTTTACGCTGTTCTCCACTGTATCTTCCCACTGAGTGACAGCAGAACAGTTAACACCCTGTAGCTTATGTATATCCATGTGGATGTCCCCAAAGACTTTCTTCTTGAACAAGGAGCCTGGTTTTTCATACCACAGTGTAATGAAAATAGAAGTGAGGTTTGCTGGTTTTATATTCTTAAGGCATGTGGTGTTTTTTATGTCGGCGAATGTATCGTTGAATATGTCAATCTCGTAACATTCAGATAAAGTCCAGTTGCCACCGTCTCTTTTTTCTGAGATTGCCAAGTTCATGATGCTGCTTGAGATATATCCATAGTCGATCTTAAAGCTCGGAGCGTGACTGCTTTGTCTGAGATCAGATACAAAAGTCAGGCGTATCCAGTTAACTGTATAGTCGGTTTTGTTGGGATCGAGGTTTCCTACATCAAAGGAGTCAGCGTCATGGAAGAATATGCTAACATTAGTAAAGTATCGCTGGTCGTTGAATGTTTCTTCCATCACTGTAGATGGAACTCTAAAAGTAACTTCACCTGAGTTTCCACGCTCTGTTTGGGTCAGGAAGAAAATGGCGGCAGCAGTGCATGCTTCTATAATGATCCCTATCATGATGACAGCCTTGATCTTGACATGGTAGTGTGATCTGACTGCTTCCTTGTTGCAGTACTTGACCGAAGTCACAATGATTCGGATCACCACTCCGATCAAAATCACAGCCGCCTTGAGTAACTGAAACACACTGATGGGCTCCTCCCTGCACAGCGCCAGGTACATGCTGATGAGAACCTGTGGGATGTCCTCGATCCAAATAACAATGGCTGACAACCAGTCGGAGTCAATCCAGGGGTTGTTCCGGAAGAACTCCCACCACAGGTTGGCGCACTCGAAGAGAAACGTAAATGTGCCGATGATGGAGAACAGTAGGAGGCACCAGACAGCTGCCCGATCTGGTTGTCCATACACGATTCCTTTTTCAGCGATGGCCACGTCGGCAAAGAAGAGCCAGTCGCTAACAAAATCGGCTAAATCGTTTCCAAATATGAACAAGAACAGCATCACATGGATGCATTTTTTCAAGCCTTTCATTCTTGGGGGCAGCTGTGAAAACAAAAAAGACAAACTATCACTTAATATGTCATCCTGTACATGGAATCTTTTATGTCATTAAATACATACAGTCCAGATTAGGAAACGAACCTGGTTAGCATGAAATGGAGGAGATGTCGAAACTTCTAAAGCCAGGACTATTAAATTAAATTCACTCGGGGGCCATAATCTTGAAAATGGCGATCGCAGTGAGCCCTAGTGTAAAAAAAAAAAAAAAATAATACAAGACAGATGGCAACGATCCACAGGCAACTTGTTAAGTCTGAGGGCCACATTAGGCCCTTGGGCTGCCAGTTGAACAGTCCTGCTACAATCTATCCTCCTCAGCTCATTCGCCTACTTCCACAGCTTCAGAATAATGTGCTAGTGTTTTGTGAATGATGAGCTGAAGAGATAAAACAGAAGGTAGTCAGTGGCCGGTTTTTTTTGTTGAGGGAAAAAGGGGGGGGGGGGGGGGGGGGGGGGGGGGTATGGTAGTGCACGTCCTGATGGACCTTTTTTTTTCTTTTTCTTGGCGTTTATCAGCTGTAAACTCCAGCGGAAAGTTCTGATCGCTCATCCATTTCTGGACTGTAGTCTTGTTCCAGAACTTTAATTTTCTATGCATATGTTTTACAGATCTGGCTTATTTGTATGCAGCCTCTCAGACAGAAACACTCCAACTCTGAAGGGAATTCCCCTAATTAGTCAGTGTCTAAACGGGCATTGGGTCTATTTTTGGGGGTTTAAATCACCAGAAATGGGAGCCCAGAACCCCCGCGAGGAATGGATGTTATAGATTGTTATGCTTCCTGATGGGTCTGAATGATTGAAGTTAATTGGGTGACAGAGTTGGTTTGGAAGATGGTCTGACTCGTCATTGCCAAGGATAGTTCCATAATGTAGCTGAACGAACCCAGAATATGGACAGTCACCATGCACACGCTATGATTCCTGTTGGTAAAGACGGCCTAGCATACGACACAACATCTAGCAAGAGAATGGAGGTGAAGGCGGTAACTGCAGCTCTCTGATGGCTAGAGAACACGATGCATACACATGTTGTAATTGTAACAGACTCTGAAAGCATACAGAGAAAGGTGAAGACAGGAATGATTCGAGCAGAGTGGCAAGCTTCGCTGGAAAGGTCACAGGTAGTGAGCATACTTTGGATCTTTTTTCCAAGGCCATGCTGACGTAGTGAGTAATGAACAGGCAGACACATTGGCTGGATCTGCACCACTGAAATTGTGGTGCATTTATACATGACAAGGCAGATGTGGTCAAGGCCCTTTAAGAACAAGCAACAGAATCAGTAAAGAAACAAGATTATTATGGTCTGGAGAGAATGAGGCACCTGTGTGTAACCAGAGGGTCTAGCCGGCTCATTACACTCAGATGAAAGGCAAGATGGACATAAAACCAGATTATGACCAGTACCATCAGTATTGGATCTCTGCGCTGGCTGCTGGAGATGAGGATGGAGCACACATGGGAATGCCCTGAGAGCTGTGATGTCAATTCTTGACTCAACTCAACTGTTGATAAAGACAGTGCATTTATGCCTGAGTGCAGCATACTGACACATAATGCCACCATCTTGTTTTGCTAGTTGCATAGCTTGTGTTAGTGTCATGTTGTATTTCTGTAATGTCTCATTTACTCTCTCCACCCGTCTGTTTTTTGGTCGGCTTTTTGATTTATAGCCTGCTATTGTCCGTGGCTAAGGCGTTGCGAGTCTGACTCGTAAGCCAGCATACCGCGATCGAAACCCACTGCAGGCTGCGTGGATTTTTGTCGTGGTATGGGGACGTCGCAGGTCGACCCAGCCTAAAATGGGTACCAGGATGGGCTGTCCTGGGAAAGTAAAGACAGCCGGCGTAATGCTGACCACATTACCCACAGAGTGCTGATGGTCTGTAAAAATATGGGACGCTCTGCCCATATGCCCGATGCGCCGAAAGGCGTGAAAAGGGAACTTTACTTTTACTTTACTTTACTTATTCTTATGTAAGACGCTGTAGCTGCTGGCTGATTTGGTCTCATTCTGACCAGATGGCCAAACCATTTGATTCTCTGATGTTCTGTGAAATCTTTTACTGCTACTGGGCCTATCATTGTTTTTAGTTCTTTATTGGTGACTCTTGTCTCTTCTTGTTTTTCCACCGCATTTCTTATACATTTCATCTCACCTGTAATTTAGCGTTTTTTCCCACTAGGATTGTCCATGTTTGGTACTGATAGCATGAAGTTGGTACGAAAAGGGCATTTATCAGCTGCTTTTGTGTGTGTGTGCCTGATAATATACAGTGGAGCTGTCTGTAAATTTATATTGTTGGCCTTCTGTTTTGTGTCTTTTTTCTTTCTCTGTCCCATCCTCCATCCTCATTGCCCAGGTACTTAAGCTTCTTAGCTTGTTTTAATGTCTCTTTCAACAGTTAAAGGTTAACTCTAATCTTCTCTCCTTCAACAGTTAAAGTTAACTCTAACCTTCTCTCTTTCAAGTTAAAAGTTAACTCTTACCTTCTCTCTTTCAACAGTTAAAGGTTAACTCTAACCTTCTCTCCTTCAACAGTGATGATGTGTTTAATTGGTGTTCTATTTACTGTCATTATTTCGTGTTTTTTTTTTTTTTTAATTTTCAAGCGATCTTACTTGCAACAGGTGTTGATTTAGCTTGTGTCAAAATACGTGGCTGTAATCAAATTTGGGGTATGGAAGATGTCCCCGCGACCATATGAATATTTTTATTAAATGTTTTTGTCCCACTTGACTGAACATTGAGGTTGAAGCTGAAGGTACACATGCATCATCTGTTATCTGTTGAAGCCCGACATTTCTGACTGTAATTGCCATCTTTGTGAGTGTAAACAGGGCCCCCCCCCACCCTCCCCCTTTTCTCAGCAGAAACTTTCATTGGGCTGTGACATTTTGAGCTGTCTAAAGAGGGCATGAAGGGTTGCGTTAGTAGGGGGTGCAGTTCGTCATTGTCTGACAAAAGCAGAATACACTCATAAACATAATTAAAGGGTGAACAGCGAGTTTCATAATGAAACCAGGAAGGTAAACTGCTTAGGGAATTAAAAGGGGGGGGGGGGCTGTCAGGAGCTTTGTCGGCTGTGAGTCACATATATCGTGACACTGATGTGAACAAAACAGTTCCGAGCCGTCTCCATAATGAAGGTTGGCTACTGTATCCACTGCTGTCTCTTTCAAACTATGACGTAATGAGTCCAATTTCTTCTACGGTGAGACTCGCATACCACTGTATGAAAGCCATCAAAAAAACGATTTTTTTTATACCATGCACGGCGGGAAATGAACCCTAGTACTCGAGTATCATGAAATTGTGAACCGCGTTTGCTAACCTCTAAGACACAAAGTGGCACCAGCTGTAAACAGATGCAGTGCAAAAATACCTTTTAATAATAAACATAATACTAATTCCATGTGAGAGAAGGGAAAAGAAATTAAGCATATCATTATCATCTCCATCTCTCTCTCTTACATACACACATGGGTTGTTATACCTTCTCCAGTGACCCCTCAAGGGTCGACTTGAAATCTTTCACCATCTTGGATCAGTGTCTTGTTGGACTTGGCGCGCTGACACAGCAGACGTGAAGCCAGTGCTTGTATAGATTATTATATCCACTGCTAAACTGCTCTTCGCTTCTTCATGCGACAGACAGTGGAAATTGTTTGTGCAATCAGATCAATAGTTCAGCACTGTAACTTTTACTGCTGATTAAATATACAAGATGCATGAAACTCCTACGCTTTGAACTTCTCACACACACACATATTGCAACATTTCATTTGGCGCTATGTAAAACTCACTAAAGTGCACTTCCCATATTTTCCCCTAAATGCATTTCCAGAGCTTTTATTATCCCCCCCCCCCCCCCCCCCCCCCCCCCCCCCCCCCCCCCCCCCCCCCCCCCCCCCCCCACCCCCCCCCCCCCCCACCCCCCCCCCACCCCCCCCCCCCCCCCCCCCCCCCCCCCCCCCCCCCACTATACAGTACCCCCCCCCCCCCCCCCCCCCCCCCCCCCCCCCCCCCCCCAAAAAAAAATGTGTAAATCATTTTTCAAGCAGCTAACAATTGTAATTTGCCGCTTGATGTTTAAACGTAGTTTTCTTAAAACAAGGATTTAGCACTTAGTTCAGTTTGGCATAATGCCAACGAATTATGTTATTGATATTTAATTGAGTTGTGCTTGTTTGCGAAACCCACTGTACTATCTGATTCACTTTATGGAAGATCAAAAACAGGTGTTTGTGGTATGCATGGTTGCTTTATTGTTATTGCGACAAACCTGCGGAAACATTTATAGATATATTGTTTTTGGACATAAGAAAGTTCGGTACAGTGAGAGGGCGGATTTAATAGCTTTTAGAACATTTGTCTTGAGTTTGTAAATGGGAGAATTGCGCAATCAACCAGGGAAAGACTCGTGTGTCTTATGTATAGTAATACATAGGCAATACATTTTTTAATAAGCAGACAAAATGAATACGTCTATTTTATAAGTAGACTAAAGAAGGGACTGTAAAGTTTATATGCATACTAACGAAAGGGATATACCGTTTATAAAGCAGACTAAAGAAACCTAACGTTCATAAGCAGACTACCGGAATATAACGTCTATAAGCAGACTACAGGATATAAGTGACTCCTTGAGTATGAGACTATATGAGGCAGGAGAACTGGCGAGAGACCGCCGAGTTTCTTTCAGGCAGACTGTGATGAGAGCGACGTTCTGCAAAGGACCTGCTACATGATGATGACAAGCAGACTAAAGAAATTTAACGTTTATAAACGTATATAACCAGACTAAAGGAATATAAAGCTTATAAGCAGACTGTATCGGAGTGCGTCTGCCTGAGAGGCAAGGAACCAGCAATCCACATAGTTTAGTCAGAGCTGTTAAACGGATGTGCACGCAACACTTAAGTTGTAGAACAAGAGAGATGGACAAACAACCAGAACTTTCCACCGGAGTTTACAGCCAGTGAGCGCGAAGAAGATAAGCAGAGGAAAGGAACATACAGTCTATATGCAGACTAAATTAATATCAAGGCACAGTGTGAAACTAGTGCTGCATGCCAAATTGTTGGTGTATTAGATTTGTACCCAAGCATTGATTGATAACTGCCAAGCGAGGGTGCACTAATTGGTGTGTCGCGAGTGCCACAGTAAAGCTTTTCTCAAACAGCAGTTCGTGTGGATTTTTATCGTGGGATGGGACGTCGCAGGTCGACCCAGCCTCAAATGGGTACCAGGATGGCTGTCATGGGGAAGTAAAGACGGCTGGCGTAATGCTGACCACATTACCCATTGAGTGCCGAATGGTCTGTAAAAAATATAGGACGCTCTGCCCATATGCCCGATGCGCTGAAAGGTGTGAAAAGGGATCTTTACTTTTTACAAACAGCAGTTCATGTGCGTACTTTAACTTACAGCCTCCTATTACGGTGGCCATAGTCAGGGCGATGGAAAGATATGATTGGCCTCAAACGGCTGCGGTCATCATGTTGTCCACTCCCAAGGCACAAAGATAAGTTTACTAGTGGAGAGGTCAGCGCTATCATTTTAGACGTTCCCCCACACAAAGGGAACCCCCGGAATCCCCAGCCCAGCCCACTATTCTAGGGGTGTTGTCATCATTCTTAGCGTGCGTTTTTAAGTCCTATAACACCCCTAGAATATTGGACTGGACTGGGGATTCCGGGTTTCCCTTTTTGGGGGGTCGTCTAAAAACTATAGTACCGAGAGGTTCCCTAAACTTACTGACAGGGGTGTGAGTGAAACTGAATCCAACGAGGATCGTACTCTGAGCGATTAACATCTGGCGAGGCAAAGTGCCGCTATTCGAGTGAGAATCTCCCCCCCCCCCCCCTCTCCCCGTTTACAAATTACCGAAACCCGGTTCAACCGGTTATATTGGAGCCGCTGTCGGTTACGGAGTAGCCTGACGTCCAGACAGGACGAGACTGTCGCTGAGAGAGAATGATGATGATGACGAAGTATAGAACAGTGTATGCAGCCTGGCAACCCAGGTTGGCAGACTACGTACGACATTAATTTCGCAACAGTGGCTCGACATCTTGTGCAATCGACATTCAGACACTAACAATCAGTTACGATCCTGCTAATGAGGTCAGATCTCAGGGAAAACTCCCTTCCTGCTATCACGTTTGCTTTCACTTTCAGTTTGCCAAATTCTTTTCTTCTTCCTAATCTTTTTTTTTTTACACGTAACCCATAAACAATTTCTTTTCTTTCATTTCACCCCAATTTCATTGGGAATTTCAGGAAATTCCAATAATATAGGAGTGCTGGGGTATGAATTAAACACCGACTAACAATAACGTAACCCCTATAATAGTTGACTATCGAAAAATCCCTGCGACACCCTTGGACCCCCCCCCCCCCCCCCCCCCCTCGGAGATAGGGTGAAAAAGAAAATAACCTATAACATATTTTAAATGCCACTTTTTCACAATTTCGTTATAACTCTCTAAATCTCTACCATAAGACGCTATAGCAGTGTTTCTCAACCTGTGGGTCGCGACCCTTTTGTTAGTCGAACGACCTTTTTACATGGGTCGCCAAAGACTATCGCAAAGCACATATAGTTCCATAATGTAGCTAACGAACCCAGAACATGGACAGTCGGTTGAAGTTATAAAGTAGAACGAACATAACTGTGTGATTGGGAGTCGCCACAACATAAGGAACTATATTAAAGGGTCGGTGCATTAAAAAATTTGAGAGCCACTGCGATAGAATGAGAGAAGGAGAAGAAGTAAAAGTATATTGTTAAAGTATGGAAGTGTAGACAAATAAAGACATATTTTCTAGAAATGAAATGTATTAACATTCAATTTAACTGCAATATTTAATATCATCTTCAATATACTTTCCTTTATTTTTGATGTCGAGGTTGATGACATTTAATGAAAAGTTAATGTGCAAAATTCACGTAAACTCGAGTAAGAAATCCACAATGCCGTCAATTTAAGCACATTTAACAGGTATCCAGACTTTATTGTATTTTTTAAACCGTCTACTGTGCTTTTCTTCTGGCTGTTTCCAGCGTCCCCCCCCCCCCTCCCCCAATTACAGTATCGACTCCCACACTCAGCTGTAACGAAGCCATCCTGTCTTTTCCCTCTTCGTGTTCACGGAAAGTTCTGATTGTTCGTCCATTTCTGAACTTTAGACTCGTTCCATAACTTGAGTTTAGCCTGCACATCCGTTTTACAAATCCAGCTTCTTTGTATACAGACTGTTGGTTGTTTGCCTCTCAGGCAGAGCCCTTCCGTCCTTTGGACTGTTCTACAGCCTCACGTTTCTTTTTCGCATATTCATCAACAGTATCATTATTCCATGTGTGCGTTCCAGGGCCCTATTATAGGGAAAACAAGAATAGACCCACTGCCTACCCAAAAGCATGTCGTAAGAGTCGACTGATTGGGAGCTTCCTTCGAAGTCAGAGTGCATCTGCCTGAGAGGCAAGGAACCAGCATTCTGCATACAAATAAGTCAGATCTTTAAAACTGATGCACACGCAACACTCAGATTCTGGAACGGGACTGCAGTCCAGAGGTGGATGAACTACCAGAACTTTCCGCCAGAGTTAACAGCTGGTGAACGCAAAGAAAAAGAAGTATAATTATCCGTTATACGTCACATGGGTCTTGCAATTGATTCCCTTTTCTTGTCTGTGCAGTTAGTTGGATCAGTCCAGTTTAGCACCGTTGAGGGTTTCTTTTTGACATCCTCGTTTTCCCCTATTCCATGTGTTCCTCATTTAAGTGCCGCCATTCAGTTTTGGCTTCTTCTCACTATGGCAGCAATATATTGCAATCTTCTTTTGTCTTATAACTGTTTATACTACTTTGTCTCTTGATGTTTTTTTCTTTCCTGTTTAGACTTGTTCGTTGTAAGTTGGACTTTACGGCTAAAGTTTTATATAGGATGGTTAACCTTTCCTTGCAGACTTTCACAGCATCATGACATGCTACGGTAGAATTATTCACCTCAGTTTACCCAGGGGCCAAAATATTGACAATGGAGATCGTCGCTGGCTGGAGGCTCGAGCCTAGCGTAGAAAGATCAATGATAAAACTGGCAATGATCTGCCGGTTACTTGCCAGCCCTGCGCGGCCCGGATTCGATCTCTGGCCCGCTAGTTGAATAGCTATTTTACTGTTCTTTACTTCCTCTCACACGGGAGGCCCAGGTTCGAATGTTCAGTAAGGTCATGCATTTCCCCCCAGGTCGACCTAGTTTTAAGTGGGTGCCCGGTACAGTCCTGGGAAGTAAAGGCAGACACTGTGATGCCTACCACGTCGATCACAACGTGCTGATAGGTCTATAAAATATAAGCCTAGCCCTATATGTCCAACACGCCTGAAGGCATGGCAAATGGTTCTTTACTTGTTTTTAAACACACTAATGCCATACAAGCTACAGGTGGAAGTCGTGACCTATCTATAGTATATTTACTACTTTAGGCGAAATAAATCCTCGCCTTATCTGCGGGCCCTTGGCCAGGTACGAACA